TGGACCGCAGGGTGAGTGCCCCCTGCTGGCCCCACTAACACCTCTTCCAGCAGCAACCTTAGTTTTTCCCAGGAGGTCTCCTATCCAGGTACTGACCAGGCTCACACCTGCTGAGCTTCAGTGGGTTGCCAGTTGTGAGTTGCAGAGTGATATGGCTGCAACTCACAACTGGCCGGCTCAACATTTGTTGAAGGAATCTTAATTAAACACTAGCCTATAAATTTGTAAATGTGACTCCTCTTGATTCTATTATCTAGCCCCCCTCCTCTTCTGCCAAGAATCACTCTTGACATCTCTTCTGTTGTCGACCCATTTCTTCTCTGGCTTGCTGAGCCTCTTCCCTAGAGATTATTTTCCACAGCTTATAGTCCAGGCCCTGCTACTGGACTGCTACTGTCACATTCTCTCACCCATCCCCCCTGCCACCACTGCCTGCCCACTCCAACGCATCCAGAATTCTGCATTTCACCTTATCGTGCTGCTCCCTTACTCCAGTTCCTCCACTGCCTTCCTGTTGTCACACATCCATCTCATCGCACTTATTCCCACGTACCACTGTCTCAACCACCCAGCTCCCTTCTTTCCACAGTCTCTTATCTCCCCTGCCCACTGCTGCCCTCTCATCTCGTCTTCCTCTTCAACCCCTCAGGGTGGAGTGAACTACCCCAGAAATCAGAACTGCCTACAGCCCTGCCTAGTCAGAACTTTCCTTTGATCTTTCAGCCACTGTAAAATTAATCTTATATTAATGTAACCCTTGCTCACAAACTCCCTTCAGGTAGGACATGTGCTAAGTAAATAATTCTTGTATTTTCAAAACTACAACATGGACCACATTTCCATTTACAAATCTTAGATTCAAATTGATAGTTTTCACCCGTTCTTTTGCACACAGTGGAAATATTAATTTGAAAGACAATTTATTTGATTGATGTTTTGTCTTTGTAACAGATGTAAAATTTTGGACAAGCACTTGTCTTTACTGGCCAAGAAGCACTTGGAGACAAAGTTCATTAAGTTAAATGTGGAGAAGGCCCCTTTCCTCACTGAAAGACTGCGCATCAAAGTGATTCCAACACTGGCACTCGTGAAGGATGGGAAAACCAAGGATTACATTGTCGGCTTTGCTGATCTAGGCAACACAGATGAATTTACAACAGAGACACTAGAATGGCGCCTGGGGTGCTCTGAGGTCATTAACTACAGGTAATATTATTATTTAATGAACATCTTTATTATAATTGACATAATTAATATTCTATAGTGCATACTGTTTACATTATTTATATGCACAAAGGCAGTGATATTCATTCCTGGTCCTGGAGGGCCAGCAGGTTTTATAGGTATCTTGTAATTCTCAAGAAGTAAAGACCTGGAAACAGTGGTAATAGAGACCATTTAAGAGAACAACTGATGTCAAAACTGATTAAGATTTGTAACACCAAGACCAGGAGACAATATCTGTGCACAAAAGGTAAGAGGCAAAAGCAGCATCTCCCACTGGTAACTCATAATGACATTTTAATTTAAAAAATATATATATATTTAATTTGGTAGACCAATACAGTTGCCATCTTACTCAGCTTGACATTTCTAATATATGTTCATAAAATGTTGTCACAGAACAAGTAATCTCAGGTTCAGGGACAAACTAGGTTCAGTCAAGAACAAAGATTTGATCCAAGTATATGAAGTCCTAAAGGGTATAGATGGGGTCGGCCTAGGGCAGGAGTGGGACATCTTTAGAAGAATGTGTTGAATTTGTCTGAAAACCAATGGTCAGCTGGTCTCCCAAACACTATTGGCATTGTACTCCTGAACAGAACAGGCTAGTTTCAAACATCCACCTGGTGACTGAACTTCAAATAGCCGGTGATCATCAAAATTAGACACCAGCTTTTTTTTATAATATTTTATATATTTTATAACTGTAGAAATGTATAAATCTGCTGTGAATCACAAGACAGTTATTTCTTGATTTTTCTCTTATATTTGGTGGCAGGGTTGGGTGCAATATGGCTCTACAGTCAGTCTAGATGTAGGGAATGTTTAGCTCTCTCTTTCCCTGACGGACATTTCAGAGTGAACTGAAATGTGTCCTCACGCTTCTTGCTGTTATGGGAGGTTGCTGTGCTCCTGAAGGAGAATGGTACTGGAATCTGCTTTGTCTTTCAGTGGGGATTTGGTGCAGCCACTGATGCAGGGACAGAAGCCTGGGTCAAAGGTCACTAAGCTGGACAAGAAGACGATCCGGGGGAAAGGCTACGACTCGGGTTCCGACGACGACTAGAGTACAGCTCTCTCGCCTCCTCATTTAATCTCATGTGTTCTGAATTAACTGACTTTAGATTTATTGCCCCTAATGTAATTCATCTTATATATCAAAGTTTATAAACATATACAACAGGATTACAATGCAACAACAGCACAGTATTAGAATACACAACAACATTCCACAACATCTCTCAATCAGAACTCTTCCAGGACCAATAGAAAAAAACCATACAATTATCTTAAGGGTCTAAACACAATAATAAGATCCCTAACAGCAAACACTTTTTTCATTTGTCAACAACTGAATGCTTTTAGGTATAAAGGATGTAGATGCTCTCTTAGTGTTTTGTACAGGAAATCTGGTACCTCCTCCAGAAGAAGGTAGGATAGTATATTCTAAAAAGAGTGGATGAGGGGGGGTCATCTAAGATTTGATGTCCAAGATTAATATGTTGCTCTGTTAGACATGTTATTATAAAGATGCACTGGTAACACTTATTTATGTTCTGCAAATACTAAATACCTCCCCAGCTCTGCAATTCCCATTATATTTTCTAGTTGAGAAATTTCTGGGGCAATAATGACCAGGTAGTAATGTGTTGGCAGCTTATGAAACTGATTGATTTTCTGTGTGAACTCTTACTTTTTTCCTTTTAGTCTCATCTGCCATGACATATGCTTAGAGTGAGCCCTAAAAATGTTATTTTTCCCAATATTGCAAGTGTAAGGTACTGTCACATAGAATCATGTTAGTAATGTGGAGACAAGTTGGTGTTATAGTTAGATTAAAAGCCATTATATCCAGTTTCTCTTTTTGCTCAAGTGGTAAAACCCTGCTCCAGTCACATCTGTCTACAAATTCAGCCCTGCCTTCCAGGCAGATGCAAATTATTGATCTCTTGAAGGCATAAACATAATTATGTTTTGTAGCCTGTCTGCCTGGCTATTGGAATTGTGGGTGAATAAAATGGAATATGTATAGTCTTGCAATCAGGTTGATTGTGCATATATTTAAAACCAAACAAGAACAGCAGTAACTATTTTCATCTGTGAATAAAACAAATGAATGGTGGGATCAATCACATGGTGACCTCAAAATGAACAGCCTGTAGACTCATCATTGACTCATCATTCAGGTGGTTGTGCAAAAATCCATTTTTTAAACTGATTAAGTACTTGACTCACAAGATTCAGGTGTTCCTGCTCTTTGTAGTTACTTGCTCATTACACAACTAAACCATTAAACCTAAAGAAAGGGGAGATGTAAATTGAACTGTACAAAAACAAATTTAAAGCCTTTGCTTCTCATTGAGCCTTATTTTCTGTGATACAGGAAATAGGAATTAACTTTTGATTTGTTACACTAATTGATTTCTTAAAATTATTTTGAAGGTTATTAGCTTCTTAATTATGGTTGGATCCAATTATTCTTTTGTACTTCAAACTAGGATGCTTGATAAGAATAAACTGCAAAACAACATGTGAAACTGAGCATGAACTCTGGGGCTGGTTATTAGAAACAAGTGAGTGCCAGGGATGCCACCAGCACTGGAATGTAGTTTTGCTCTGCCAGTGTGGACTGTGATGCAGACTTGAGAGTTTTCTATAAACGTGTTCCAACTTAATAAAAATGAGTTTCTGGCAGCAAGCGCTTATTTCTTCTGTGACTAGAAGCTGTTGCTTGATTATCACTGTTGTCAGTGCTTTTTCTTGCAGCAAAGCCAAGACAACGGGGCTAAGAGGAGAGGGAGGACCCTAGGGATAATAATTGTAAAATTAAATAAATTTTCACAACAGATCTTAGGTGTTGCTTTTCAACCAATCTCAACATGACATCTTACATTTGAAAAGGATGATTTGAGAGGAACTAATCCCCCAGCCAAAAGAATTGAGAATTCTAAATTCAGACTTGGGAAGATGAAAACCCAGCACCTGTACTGCATATGAAAACACCTTACAGTTCAGTACATTTTGCTTCAAGCTTCACGTTTCTTTCTTACCTTTAACGCAGAAGTCTTTAGGTGCCTTTGAAACACGTCAGCAGTCACAGAGGCTGTCACCCACTGTGTGGTACCTGGTACTTGGCAGAGTAAGAAGGCCTGAATGCTCACATCTGATGCCAAGAGCTGGACTGGATTAATGCTAATGCACCAGAATACATCCTCCAGTCCACTGTCTGGCCCGTTGTTCCTCTTAGGGCACATAGATCTGGTTCATCAGGCCAGCTCCCAATGTCATCACTGAAGGGCCTCAAGTCCCAGGCCCCACTTAGCGAAATAGTAGTGAAATAACCTGACCGCTAGTCAGAACCATGGACTCACTTGCCATCCTCTGGAAGAAACTAAAAGCCTATCTCTTCAGGACATATCTGACCCCAGAGCCACGTTACTGACCGTATTCTAATCTTACTACTTACTGACTGATAAACAGCACTGACACTCTTTAGCACTATTCAAAATCCCAACAATCAACATTGTGCTCACTGCTTTATGTGGTTTTGTTGTTTTATACTCCAATTTTCTGCTCCCTTTGCATCTTGACCTGAAACAATTGCTCACTTCTTTCAATAATAGCATATGCCGGAAAGGATACGTGTTCAAACAGTTCCTTACAACTCAGTAGGTTTCAATGTTTTATTATACAAAATATTCAAGAATTTGGAGTGGGCTACGATTCAATGGCTTTTTGTTCCAAAGGCTTCAGACAACGTCTTACAACAAGCTCCCCGGTGCTCTTAAGACATGTGTCTGCCAGCTCCTCTTCAGTTGGGAGTCCATGTGGAAGCTTCAAGGGCTGGATCCTGTTGAAAAAACAATTGATTTAAAAACTCCATTTTCAGAGTCCTGACAAGTCTACCTTCCCCTTTCATACAACAATGATTTCTTACTGGAGATCAAAGGGATTCTAATGAAAGAGTGTTGATGTTGATGTGTTGATGTTTAGAATAACACAAAAACAGCCAGGCAACATATTGTGGCAATGCATTGCCCCTAAAAAGGAGAGGTAAGCAGCCAGAGACTTTCTGGGGTTAATATTAATATATAAAAATACATTTTTAATGTAAGAAGTATTTAAAGAGTTAGTTTCAAGTCTATGTTCATGAAAACAAACTTGGCTGTGAATCTCCTCTGCACATTAATTTATACAAATTGTCAGTACCAACCTCAGAAGGTGCTTTACAATTTTCAGTTTTGCGTTGACAGAAGGGATGTTTTTGTGCACACGGGGCTGATGAGCCTGGAAATAAAATGCATGGACACACAGAGTGGGTAACGGTAATCTCTTTCACCTGTGGTTTGCTGCACTGATGTCATGTTTAAATCCTTTTGCAGCATGTTGAAAGCATTCATGTCTTCAAATTTTCACCATTTTTGGGAAGAAAACCCAAAAGTAAAAAAATAGGTGAACTTAGTTTCATTAGCTCAATTAAAGGATTTAAATAAGTAGTAATAAGTGTTTAAATAAGTAGATCTTGGGAGCTGAATTTAGAAGGCTCCACTTTATAGATCAAAAACACTGAGTTTAGTCTTTACCATACAGGTTTGTAGATATATATCACAATCTAAGGAAATCCCTGAGAACCTCACAAGAAGAGTTGCTTTGAAGTTACAAAACCATTTCTACAGGATTGGGGCTCCACCAGTCCATTATCAGACAGGTCCTACAGAAGATTCACAAACCTTTTCTCAGCACAGCACCATCCATTTTCAAAACGATATGAATGCAAATTAAGTCTGTGTGAATATGATCACAGGGATCGGTCTGATCTTCAGACATGGAAGAATAATCGCATTGGCTCATGAGCCATCGTTGAAGGGCAATACCTTTCCTAACCCCAGATCATGCACAATCTTCTTCTCCCAGTAGGGGCGCCGCATGGTGCTTTTAATCCTGGTGACGAGGTGCAGCTTGTGCGGCTGAGCGGGGTCACCCCCATATTTCTCGTGCTCTTTGGCTCGTTCTTCAAACACCTGCGAAGACACGACGACCAGCCTTTTGTCACAACACCCCTCTATCAACGCTCACGCCTGTCCAGCTGGAACACAAGTCGGGCCCCAGACCTGAACTGCCATTACAGGCGCTAATCCACGCACCTGGACGTGAATTTGGTAAATACATTTTACCAAAACAAGCAGTCTTACACAGTTATAATAACGACATTCATTAGTTGGATCAGTGCAATACGGCTGCGACCTCACCTCCGGAGGAATCCGCGATTTGGTGAATTTGTAGCGACATACCGCGTTCCACGGAAAAGGCAACGCTCTTGTTAAATCCTAGGGGGGAAAAGTACATTTAAACATCTTTCAAGGCAATCTGAAAATAAAAAAAATGTAGAAGCAAATACGCATCTCGTTTGGGTGTGCGCTACATTTAAACCGAAAGGATTTCTTCTGCATTGAACTAATGCATGATTCACAAGTGGTGCGGAGGAACCAGTTTCACACCATACCTTTGCAGAGATATTTTATACCATTTTCTGTCAGTGTTTTAATTCTACAAGACTGATATTTACGTTCACATACCATAATGGCTTTATGATGTTTTAATGTTAGATTATCACGTGTTTTAATGACCGCTAAAGCGTACACGTTTATGTAAAAAAGGTATAAACGCAGCAGTTAATTCTGAGCTTTCGAGTATGTACATTTTACTCTTACCTTCCACCCAGCTGAAGGTTTCTGAAATGCCCTACAGAGCCCAGCCATCCTGCACGAGTAGTCAAGATGCCTTTACAGTAGGTAATGTCTCTCAGTGCGGCTATGAAGGTTATAGCACAAATGCTCCTCGAAGTCCCATAAACCAGACCAGCAACGGGGAGATTAAAAAACAGCCGCGTTATTTGTACCTTTCTCCACCGCCAAAAAGCAAAACATTTCCAAAGAGTTATTCCAGTTAAATAAAAAAGCTATGGATATAGACCTGTCAATACTGTAACCAAGCATACAGCAGGAAGGAGATCTGTGTTCCGCAAGCTATTTGCACCGGTCTTCGACACACTCCCCTCCCTCGAGGTAAAAAGGTTCCTACCTCAAACTTTATGAGTGCAAAAACAAATGGAAAAGGAAACTAATATCAAAACTTATATAGTTATATAACATTTATATATAAAACATTTCTATTTAGAATCTTGTGATTTACAAAAATAATCCTTGTGTCAAACAGCTGTTTCTGTGGGGTTGTTTTTGTGCGGCACAGCGCTGTGAGAGGGGAATCTGGTATCAGGAAATGCTTGGTTACTGTATGTTAAAAGGACGGCGGATTAGACCGTTCCTAGTTTCTTTTTACGATATTTTCAAAGGAAACCAAGCAGTATGCTCAGTTATTGTGAACAGCGGAAAGTGGGTTCTCATGTGAACTTATTTTAAAGTGTTTTTTTCTGATATGTAATAATGTCATGCATCTGAATTAAGACAGCTAAGAAAATCGATAAGACAATTACAGTGTTGAACTTACATGCGTTCTTCATATTACTCCGTCGAATTCAATACAGACTTAATTTTAGATGTTTTTACGAGTAAGTTTCAGTGTCAGACCACTCTTGGCACTGTCTGTGCAGGTTTACTTTATAAAGACAGGGTTTAAAGACCTGCAGGTGTAATAACCATGTCACGGAACGACGTGTCCGGCATTGAGACGTCGGCAGTTTCGGTGTTGAAGAGAGCTGTGGAGCTCGACCAAAGCTCTAGGTTTCAGGAGTCTCTTGTCTGCTATCAAGAAGGCATTCAGCTGCTGCTAGACGTGCTTAAAGGTAAAAAGGAAAGCCCCTTAAAGACACAACCTCTAACTGTAATACATTTCCTATAACTTTCACCAACAGTGGTGACTGAATTGTGCTTTGAGCTCTTATCATGACAACTTATCATGAAGGGCACTGTCCAAAAAGCCTGTATTCCTCTGTGAGTTCTGGAACTGCACTAGGTGCTGTATTTCTAATTGCCATCCATGCTGTCTCCCTTCCTAGCCATCAAGGATGAGTCAAAGAAGACCCATTACAGGGAGAAGATAAGGGTGTACATGGAACGGGCAGAGCAGATCAAAAACCACCTGAAACAAGAAAAGGAAGGTATTGCCTTTATACCTGTGCTGTTTATTTTGTGCCGATTGGTTGTCTCAGTGACTCACTGTGAAAGCGGGACGATTTCAACTATGTAGAGTCTTAGTGATACAGTGCAGTGCATCAAATTTATTAGTCACCGATTCCGAAAATATCCAGATCTTTTTCTTACTCTTCCTTCTGCAGGCAACTGCTGAAAAAGCACTTTTCCTTTTCTTTCCAGAGGGTAAATATCACGAGCAGATCAAAATTATGGAGAACGCCACAGGTTATAGCTACGAAAAGCTCTTCAAACCCTACATCAATGAGACCTTGACTGAAATCTGGGTGGAAGACCCCTACATCAGATATTTTCATCAGGTACAGACACTTTAATCTTCGCGTGTTATTTAGGGTGGCAGGGAGGCCTGCCTGGTGTCCCACCTTTCTTGGGCCAGGGAGTACGATTCTGGCCTGTGTGGCTTTCTGTGTGGAGTTTGCATGCTTCCCCTGTGTCCACGTAGTGATTTAGATTACTCCCACTTGCCAAGATGTGCTGGTTAGGTTGACTGTAGTCTCTAAATTATCCTTTTGTTATAATGTGTGTGTGTGGGGATGTGGTACCAGTCTCTCAGTATGTGCTTCCTGGTTAGGGTCCAGGTTGCTGTGACCTGACCAGAATTGAGCAGCTTTCTGATATTGGACATAATCGTTTAATGCAAACTATATAAATGCTTCACCCCAGCAATCACTGTTATAACTAGAATAATACATTTACAGTTTAAACTACTGTTAGTCATGAAAAGCACTTTGATTCACACTCACACTAGTTTTCATTTTCATACTTGTCCAACATCCCACTCCGTGCCTCTTGGGTGAATTGTGTGCAGCCTGAGAATTAACAAGGCCTACTATTAGGATCAGTAGGTTTGATTTTACTATCTTTCTACTCCCCTCCTCGCAGCCTCACTCCTCTAATTCTAGTCTCCTGTCTGTCTGAGAGACAGGGGGACAGGGGTGGGGGACACTCCTTCTGCAGTTATGCCCCAAAGCTCTGGAACTCCATCCCTAAGGATATCAGAGAGTCACCTTCCCTGAGCTTCTTCAAATCTAGACTGAAAATGTTCTGTTTAGAAGGGTTTTTATTTAACTGGTTCTCTGTGCCCCTTGGCTTTCCTACTATTTTCCACACCCCCACCTCCTATCTCCTCTCTGTGTTTTTTGTTGTTGTGCTGTGAAGCAAATAAGAAGCCACTTTTAAAGGTGCTACGGTGCTATTATGTTATTACCCTTCTTTGGAAATGCCGTTCAGTTTACTTGATTTCACATTTCCATTAAGCTGGCTGTAGGTCACCCCAGATCCCAGATTGCCACTAACCCCTTTCTTCTAGCTGTATAACTTCCTGCGGTTCTGCGAGATGCTGTTGAAGGCTCCCTGCAAAGTCAAGAGGATTCATCTGCTGACCTCGCAGGAAGAAGTAAGAGTTGTCAATCACACAAATGCGCCGCTGTCTTCTCACACATTTCAAGGCAGCAGCCCTGCTCTGATGTATTGCTCTGGTAAAGGGGTCAAGATAATGTCACTCCACACTCAGACCTGTCTTCTTTGACACAAATTGGCCCTACCTGTAACTTTAAATAAATATCTTGACAGTTAATTGCATGCTATTTTTGTTTTGTTTCCCACAACTGTTCTTATAAATTCCAGGGTATCAATTTTCCTCTCCATTTAATATCTGACTGGCATCTCATATTACTGAAAAGCAATTATGTTGCATTGTTGTTGTTTTTAATTATTGTATATGGCATTAACAAAAAGACAACCCCCAAGTTTAATACATTAGAAATACGTGGTAAATCACATGCATAAGTGGTAATTGCATGTCACTTTCTTTGTATTTCTGCTGTGTGTTACTGTGGATATATCTTTCAATACATTTTTATGACACCACACTGCTGCAATAACAAATCTAGTTCATGTATTAAAAGCTAACTACTAGAAGAATATGGTGCTGTAAGCGAGATCAATTGTCAAGATGAATGCAAAAAATGAGAATCTGAAACATTGCAGTTTAGTGATAAGTTGATGATGTCTGGAGTTTGGAAAGATTAAATGATTTTGGTCATTAACAGGTGCTACCTTTCTCTTAGTATTTATATATGAAATGCCCCCTCTCTCACCATATTCAACTGTTTTTCTTGCTCTGTATTAGGGTGACAGCTCCACCCAAGTTAATGCGTTGGCAGAGATAAAGCAGTCTCTGCAGAATCATGGGGTAACGCTAACCATCGAATACTCAACCACTATTCATGACCGGGAAATCAGGTTGGCAACGTGCAAACCACATCAGCAGCTGCAATACAAAATACTGTCAGATGCTCCAAAAAATTAGAGAAGATACCATCTGCCTCTAGCCTCTCCCTCTGTTTAATCTTCCTTGCTACTTACATGATCGTATTGTAGGTTATTCCAATGGCTAACAATACTGTTATTGTAAAATCCACTGATTTCAAAGCTTCCAATAATATATAATAAATTAAATTAAGAATCAGGATAAAATAGAAAAATGAAAAACAAAAATTATTTACCTGCTATTTCCGAAGGAGGGAAAGATATGGATGTTTACAATAATTATGTTAAAGTGAATGTACTGTATAAACATATTAATACAAACTTGATGCTGAAATAGAAATTTGAAATACATTTATAAGCATTGAAATTTTCAGTTCTAATATAAAAAGTCAAAATTCTTACATAGTGCAGCAGAGTCTTAAAATTAAGACATTTGATGTTAGCTATGATTACCTTAATACTAGGTAGCAACGTTTAGGGAAATACATTTTGGACAAGGAACAATATCTCTGAATAATTTTAACAGATTCAATAATGGATGGATAATCAAGATTGGAAGAGGGCTGGACTACTTTAAGAAGCCACAGGTACAGTCTCACTTATTATTTCAAGGTTTCTTATATGAGAATCACGTGCCTGGAGGAAAATGTGTTTTCCTCATTACTGTAATGATTCCTTCTATTGTATGGCACCTTTCCTCTTGAAGTAACCCAAAGCACTTTACACATAGGAAAGGATCCACTTGACCCCCACTGCACAGCAGATCAAAGGGAGGAGTGAGACATTTCTTCACTAATAAGCAGGGAATTTGGGAAGGACAACAATTTAGCAGAATTTACAGTGTTAGCAGTTTAATGCCTAATCCAAGATTTATAAATTCTGGTCCAAATGGAGGAGTGCCACCTACTGGTCCACCAACACAATGATGTGGTTTTCTGTGAAGGTCTCCTCCCCAGTACTGACCAGGCCCAACCTTGCTGAGCTTCTGAGACCTGACATCAGATGGTAGTAACACTGCTATTCTTATTACAAATAGCCTGGGAATTGCTCACAATTGTCTTTTAATATTCATTAAGCTGTGTACTGTACATGTGTGTATTTCATGTTTACACTTCAATGTAAAAATAAGCAGCAGATGTAATTCTAACAGAAACTCTGTTTCTCTGGTGGGCAGGGTAAGTTCTCCATCGGCTACTGTGACTTCGACCTGAGACAGTGCCAAGAGACCACAGTGGACATTTTCCACACAAAGCACACAAGGACCACAGACCTTTAAAAGACTTTTATGTGTTATCCATTTAAATGTTTTTTAGGGTGTTCAAATTTGAATGTATCGGTGTTGTGGATTTCTAAACTGTCAGAAACAAATGACAAATGTTGGTCTTAAAGTGAAGAATTAAATGGATGCTTATTTAAATTTGACAAACAACTTTGAGTAGAATGACACTATTGTGCTGACAATTGTCTTACTATTTCTGTAAGAGATTTGTCATTCACATTCCATCTCAGCTATTTTGCCAATTTCATTTTTGCAACTAACCTTTTTTATGTCCAGCTCATGGACAGTGCATTAGGACACCCTGACCCACTATGTGTATATGAGGAAATAAAAACATTTATTTTATAGTGAATGAAAACTCAAATAGGGTGAATGCACATTAATACTAATAGTGTTTTGCTGCACTTCATACTGAAATAGATTTGTTTTTCGTTATGAACTGGTAGCATTCAGTGTGTTCTCTGTATTTCTTCTCTTTATTATTAAACGAGCTTTTGTACAAAGGCAAAGAGTCGGTGTTCTGTTTCACACGCCTGTTGACGTCATGCATGTGTTTCCATCACGGCCGCGACATTTTCACACAAAACGCCCCACTTGTCCCGCAGCTCGCCGTCGCCCGGGCACGTCCTGAGCAGAGCAGCGGTCAGCACCGCGGTTTCGCTGGGACAGAACCTGCTTCCCACCAGCTGAGAGGCCAGCTGGTCGCACACCGCCGGCGGCACCCAGTCCCTGTGTGTTCCTATCGCGCAGGAGACTATGGCCCCGTCCTTCACCTCCATGTTCAGCGTTACGGCCGCGTTGGACTTTTTGTAGCACACTTCGGAACTGGTACCGACGCTAAACCGGGGGGTCTTTCCGTAGACCCACTCCCAGGCCTGCAGCGCGCGAGTCAATCCACCGATCCCAGGAAGCGACGACTCGTCCCTGGGGTCGACGGGAGCGACGCGGGGCTCCAAGCCGTGATGCGCGGCGTACTCCGCCGCCACGGCCTCCGTGACGGCCCCGCAGTCTAGGGACGGGTCTATGTCCGTAAGGTTCAGCACGGGCGAAGGCACGCTCGGGGTCGCGTTGCTCTTAATGCCCTGGCATGCGCCCTTCAGCACAGCCGCCAGCACGGTGGTGTCCGTCCCGCACAGCAGGGTGCAGTGGTGGTAGGCGGAGGCCCTGCCCAGCCTCGCCGCGGTGCCCGAGATCTTGAACCGGCCGTTCAGCAGGATGTCGTATCTTTCCGTGGCGTGCACGTCCAGCCCGGGCCGCAGCGCTTTCAGGGCTCTCGTCACGATGCCCAGATTCCTCGCCCTGTCGTACCCCTTCCGGGACGTGAAGAAGGTCAGGTTGACGTTGCCCAGGTCGTGATACACTGTCCCGCCGCCGCTGCGCCTCCTGGCCAGCCCTATCCCCTTCTCTCTCAGCAGCCGCAGGTTGCACTCCTGCCAGGGGTTCTGGTGCCGGCCAATGACCACGGCGGGCGAATTTCTCCAAATAAAAAGGACGTTCCTGTTCTGCAGCTCTACGTTGTCGTGGATCCAGTCCTCAACAGCCAGATTCTCATAAACATCCGTAGACAGCGACTTCAGTACGAGACCCCCGCAGCCCTCCTCGATGAGAGGTGTTGAGGTGCTGTGGGGTCGCCAGAAAAGTGAAGGCGTGTGTGTTTTCAGTACACGCACCCTCAAAGCAGTCCTCATGATCATGGCGACCGGACCACTGGACCACCGCGTCCAGTGCTGAAGACTGAACACGAGCGAATCACTGAGACAAACCTCCCTGCAGCTACATGTGTGTTCGGCATCCGGAGTCAGGTGAAGGTCAGGCTAACACACAGGAAGAGATTCCCGCAAAAGGAAAGATTTGTTTGTGGGATACAGCGCCCCATACCGGCAGCGCATGGGAACAGACATTAGGGAGTCTCCTTGAACTATGATTATTAGGGCTCGGTTTTCCAACATCTTTTATTAGAGTTACGGTATTGACACTAAAATACCTAAGAAAAATATCATTGACAAAAATACACATGAATTACTTTTTTAGCTTCTTATAATCTTATAATTATAAGTATTAGTTTATGTTAAGAACAAACGAAAGGAGGGCATTTGCCACATTTGAACCAAGGAACCCCAATGACGCATTTTTTTAAAGTAGCCGGGATGTCGTCTTAGACAACATGGTTGTGTTGCTTGTTCCATACTCCCACAACCCTCTATGTAAAGAGACATCTCCTGTCCTCGGTTTTAAGTGATCTTCCCCTTAATTACACATTGTGTCATTTGGTTTGCATTTCATTGTTTATTATAACATCCACGGGATTAGCTTTCTCAGTGCCTTTGGGGATTTTGAGCAGTGAATTTGAGACTTCCTTGTCAAGGACTAAAAAGATTAATTTCCTTCAGCCTGTCATTGAAGAGCATTCCTGCGGTCCCAGGAATGTACCAAGTCTCTTGTCTGTAGGGTGCTTTGCTCTTGTACACAATGTTTCTGGGTTTGCACTGCAGGGATTTAGTTCCTATTATAAAAGCTGTTGACATGCTAGACTGGTACTGCAAGGCCCTGGATAAACAGGACAAATTAGCAATGATTATTAAACAGCACAGATCATCCACCCATCCATTTTTCTAACTGCTTTATCACAGGGGGAGCTGGAGCCTATCCTAACAAGCAAAGCAGGATACACCCTACTGGGTACACACAGACACGCACACACACTCATACCAGCCAACATATCTACCAGTCTGCCTTCGGACTGTAGGAGGACCCCACACAAATATGGCGAGAACATACAAACTCCGTGCAAATAGCACCCCAGGTCCAGGATTGAACCCAGCACAGCAAGACAGCAATGCTGACCACTGCACCACCCTGCCACCCACCAGCGTGGACTATAGAACACATGATCAAATAGAAAGTGCAAAGGTCAATCTGCTAGACTGTTGATGCATATATCAGCACTTCTGTGGTTTGAAAGAAGTATATTCATCGGCTACTGATATACAGTGCCTTGCAAAAGTAATTAGATCCTTGCACGGCCTTTACAATTTGATGCTTTAAAGTTTGCAGTCAATATTGCAATTAATATTGGTTATTCTTTAACCTAGTCCATACATTTAAAGCAAGACCCAAAAAACTAGACAATTACAGATGAGAGAAGGCCATTTGGTAGATAAAAACTGATTTAAGGATCTCATCCAGCTGTTTCCTAAAAGAAGCCAGAGTATCAGCTTAAACTACACAGCTGGGAGCTTGTTCCATACTCCCACAACCCTTTGTCTAAAGACGTCGTCCTGGCATCAGTTTTAAAAGCATTTCATCTTAATTTTTGATTGTGTCTGAACTTTCTTTGCTAATCCTGAAGAATTCCACTGAAATAACTCTCTAATTAGTTTGGACTTCTTTATGAAAAATATATTGACTTAGTGGTTACATGTTTCATCGAACCGTTTTAATAAATTCTCACTTCTAGGAGTTTTGTTTAGGTATATGTGTTTTGAAAAATCCTGACTTTGTAATGCCATTTTCGAAATAAATGATAAGGATAAAATGCAATCTGTGCAGCAGACGCTTTCTTCTTAGAACGCGTCAGTACGGCAAATACAATGCGGTAAATAACCTCCAGGAGTCACGGTTTGGAACAGAAAGTCACAATTATTTTTTTCAGTCATCCGCTTGATGAAATTGCCGGTTGCTTGACAACCCGACCTCCCTTCGCACATTTGCGTTTTAATGAGACCTCAGGAGAACTGCAGAGATACCGAGCATTCGCGGATGCAATATAGTCGGGAAATATATTTTCCGAACGGATTGCAAAAATTGACATTTGAACAGTGGAACTGGAGGTTCAGCCGAAAGAAGCGACAGCGACTCTACTCATTCTGCTTAGGAACCGCAGTTTTTCAGACCTCACCCTTTTGGTAAGTCGCTCTGGGACTGGAGCGCACTAGTAGTTACCCGCTAGAAAATGCCGTACAAGCCTAAAACGTACATGTAATGCACAAATATAGTGTTAGTTCGTATTCTTGTGCGTTGAGCTATGCCCGATTATTAAAAAGTTGGTTCAAGCGAAGAGTGCTAAGACTTTGGACTGCGACTTCGTGTACTTTATTTGTCTAGGGACCCGGGGTGATGGGACTTTGCTTGGAGAAGTCCTCCAAGGTCGCCTGGTCGTCCGTGCCGCCCAAACAGCACCTCACCGTGGAAGAAGATCGCGCCGTCGCACGCGACTGTGCCCAGGAGCGCATCGAGCCGTCGCGAGTGGAAACCGGCTCAGTGGGGAGAGACAGAGAGACGACGGATTTTGTAAAAGAAAACGACGGTTTGCAACTGTTAGACTTGGAGGAGTGTGAACGATAACTATAACGTTGGCCATAAGAAACTAAATAGTTCTGGTGGGTAGCGGCGTCAGCATACGTAGGCTGCAAATGAATAAGTAATAGGTTTATTCCATGCTGAAAAGAGAAGAAATTAAGCACAACGTTTCGGCCGTGGAGCCTTCTTCTAGCTCACACCTGAAGAAGGCTCCACGGCCGAAACGTTGTGTTTTTTTCTTCTCTTTTCAGCATATAATAAACCTATTACTTGTTCCAAGAGAAAAGAAGTTGCCAATTCAGAAATCTTATCTATATTAAATCGATGTGGTTTCACTGCGGATTTCCCTGAACTGTTGATGACTGAGTTTCAGACCAAGTCAGATACTATGGCTGCAGTTTCTGCACTTGACAGGTATCTGTCTAAAATGAAGACATTGACGCAACACAACAGTTGTTATCTGAACTGTCAGGAGACCGCAGTTACTTTATGTTCCCAGACTCCCAGCATCACTAGGTAGGTTCAGTGCTGTTGTTGACAGTGCTGAAAACAAGGCCCTTATGGAAGTTAGAAATCTCGATTTTCGTCATCGTTTGAAGTGCATGTCACAAAGCTCAGTCTCTTTCAGGCGCGTAACATGGCTGCATTAAGAATCTTACTCTGGCAGGTACAGTTATTAATGCATACATGTATTTCATTAAGAAAGGACTGGTGTAACACCTTGCTTGCTTGGGTATCCGCCGATACTCTAGCTGACCTTTCAGAGCGGCCATCTGTCACATTGCTCCAGAGGCAATTTCCGCCTGGATTGATGTCCCTTTAACATTTTGTAATATTTCTTAAAGTATAGATAGTAGGGGGCTAGTTTAGGGTTTAAATTGAGGAAAACAGACTTCGACGTGTTCAGCATTCTGTAACTCGTGTGCGAGCCGAAAGCGCTGTTTGTTTCAAAACACTGCACTTTTTATTATTTTAGTTTTAACTCTTGGTGTCAGCGCGGAAATTTGTTGCGCATATTTGTATTTGTGTTATATTGCCTGTGTGCGCTGTTGCACCTCGATTCGTGCTCCTGAAAGGCGCTTGAAAATAAACTTGTGTCACTTGGATTTTCACAAGGACTGCAGCGTGGGCCCGTAATCCCAGGAGAGATGCTGCTGAAATTCCGTAGGGAAAAATAGGTCAAATGTTTATCTGTGTAAAAATGGTTACGAATATGAGTCACTTCGTTTATAAAAGCGTCTGCCAAATAAACTGACACGTAACGGAGTTCTTAGTGGGGTGTGCACTTAGTGGGACTGTTGAAATCGAGCTTCTTGGATTTACACGAACCCGAGGAACAGAAAATGCATCTATCGATTTCAGGGGCTTACACGTTTTTTAAAGTTGGTTGAATACACACCCGTAACGCGTGAAAAACCTCAGTGGCATTCCTATATTGAATTTCAAGTTTGATCACCATCTTATTGATAAGAACGTTTTGTTTCACAAAATCCTCGTTGAAGACGCTGAAGTGACAAGTCGGGACTTGCAGAGGCGAGCACTGTAAACAAGGCAGACCTAAATATATATTGGCATGCATGAGGAAGTCTGCATTCAGTTTTTGTGCAGGCTGTGTATCTTTATTCGGAAAATCGTGTTACAAGTGAAAATGAATTCCAGCGATAAAGCAGACGGAGAGAAAGAGGTAGGCTGTGTTCTCCTGCACATTTCAATCGTTATTGAATTCATTAAAGCAACTTTTACACGACGCCAACGTCGACAAGTGTGCTCTTAGGACAATAAAAGCGAAACAAATGTGAGTTTTTATTTTTATTTCCACCTTTATAGAGATAAATACAAAATGTGCTGTTGAACTTGCTTGGTCGAAGTTGTGAAGAAGCCTGTCCTTTTTTTCACAAAACATTTTTGGTCAAACGGGACTACTAAAAGAAAATTCTACTGCTTTTATTTTTCAATGAGCACGGTTCCCACGTGTTGCCAGTCAATGTTAAAATCCCGTTGTCTGGTACGCTACGTTGCCAAGACAACTGGCACAAACAGAACGAAAAGGTCCCCGCTGATTGGCTGGGAGGAGGCCCAGGAGGCCGTGACGCGACGAGCCGTGCAGACGCCGTGCTGTGATTTGTCTGTGCGCTTCAATCCCCGGAGTAAAGCGGTTTACTACTGATCGGAAATTACTCTGCAGCACAGCCACGATCTGCAGGATCCTTTCTGCTACTATACCATCTCCTTTGAATAGAAAGATCTGTTAAAAGCGGCGGTGAAGTAAGTCGTGCAGCACTTATCCTCTCTTGGTTGGACCTGTAAGGGAAATAGTATTTTAGTTTTAAGTTACCATGTTATATAAAAAAATCGCAACATAACATATTCCCCTTTTATAAAAAACAGGCTCATCAATATCATTACTGCATCTGTTGTGCATTGTTTTGCAATGTGTGTGTGTTTGTGGGGGTTTTTTTGGGGGGGGGATTATTAGTTACGTGAAGCCCAGAGAAGCTTTTTTAAAGTTTTGGTAAAAACTGCAGACAGCCTAATTTCTGCAAAATGTGCATATATAGTCTGTATGTAATTGTATAAATATTAGGGCCACGTGGAAACAAAAATAGCAATGTTTTTAAAAAGTTCATAAAAACGTTCTTTAAAAAGTGCATTATTAGCTTGTTTTTTGTAAACGTCACTAGTAGGCCTATTGACATACATTGGAAATATATGTTGGGGGTCCAGACCGTTGTAAAACGTTTGTCCACATAATTACATCTCAGTAAGGGGAGTGACTGAAGATACGGTTGTCACGGCAACGAGTAATGGAACTTTGCACGAGCCGGTCCGCTTCCGTTTCTCGGACCTTCGCTGCAGCAGTGCTGTTAGCGCTGGTATTTTGTGACCCTGTCCAACGTTGTGGTTTTCACGTTATGTGAAAAGCATTGACTGCAGAAGAAAAATCCTGGAGATCCTGTGAGCTCTGTGCTTTTTGGACAAAAAAAATCGCCTGTGCTTGTGCTGTTACAAACTGCTGCTGACACATGGGAGAGGGCATCGTGCTTCACCTACGCTTTGATTGGCTTTCCTACTTACTACACCTCAATTAACCTCTGTAAGCCCTCTTGTCTGTTGCACGACTCATTTCATTCCCCTTTCATTGTAATATACGTGCTCTTTCAGAAGTCATTGGGTAGACTTAGAACAGCGTTGACGGCCAACAGCCGTGAAAAACTCCCGGAATTTGAAACTGCGAACAGCAGGAAAGAGAGACTCGTCGGCGACCCGAGTTCGCAGGCAGGTTTACTACTTTTTGTAGCACAGCCGAGGGAAATTGTATGACCTGGGTCTCCAGTCAGAGCAGGAGTAAACCATCCCCGATAAGTCATTTGAGCACGTTGTTGTTCACTAGATATAACTGTAAGAACAGATGAACTAACTGGGGGAAAAGCATTTAAAGAATGTTTCCAATAGCACTTTCTAGCCGATGATATCTTTGCAGTTTTGTTTTCACTGTCTCATTTTGGAGATTTGTTTTACTTAGGTGTCTTAGCCTTTCAAAGGTGTGTGAGGAAAGATCCCAGAATGTCTGGTCCCAGGTCCAGCAGAGAATGGGATGGAATCCCACTCGGAGATTCCGGATTCCCACAGCCCAGTTTAGATGGGCAGCGGGAACAACGACTCTAGTTTTCAGTTTGGGGGACACATTCTGCTTGTCCCTTGGCGGAGAGGCACTGGGTCACCTTCAGTGTGAGCCGGTGGCGGTGATGGCCTGTGTTTGTGGTACTTTCTGACAGGTTGAAGGCCTGAAAGCCAGAGTCCCTGCTGTGGACCTGCAGGGAGAGGAGCAGGATGTGAGTGACCAGCAGGACCCTCTGGCCCCGAGGAACGACAGGACTGCACTGGGCACTGCTGATCAGCACACGAAAGAGACCACGGTATACGCAACTGCACTTCTTCCCTGTTATATTTTCCACTGAAAGCAAGCTGCCCTTCTTGTTTGTGACTGGAAGTGTTGGTGGTTGGACCCAGTGGAAAGCCCTTAGCCATTGCGCGTCCTGGACCTGCAACATGGTACTTGACATAAAACAGCTTCATTGAATGATGCAATTTCCCATTCATCCCTTTCACTGGTGTTGCTGTGGGATGTCATCCTGGATCTGCCCGGTCCTGCACTTTGTGGGTGGCGAAGGATTCCTGCATCCGTGTCGTGTTAATACTCGACACCCACACAGATCAAGCAGCACGTCTCTTTTGACCAGCTGCCTCTGGAAAAACACCTTCAGTTAAGTTTCCCCTCATTTTTCACCTCATGTGTTACCTGCTCAGAGAAGATGAAGGCTTTAATCTGAACACCCTAAACTAAGGTAAAAGTCATACCTTGCAGAAGAGTAGAGAGAGTTGAGTAGTGTATTGCCATACTGTATGTACACGTACATTGGAATTCTTAATCGCGCTGACCTCTCGGTACATACACAGTACAACAGGCAACAGCACACAATGAAGACAACAGGAACAATCAATATGTTGTGGAAAAAGAAAAAAATATGTAGTAGTGAGACTGGAGAGAAAAAAAGGGTAGACTATGTAAAAAGTGTAGAGTGCAGATGTGTATGGAGTTTGAGGCCCTGCAATTAGATGTTGTGTAGGATGTGCACTGCAGTGGGATAGAAGCTGTTCTTGAGTCTAGTGGTCCGTGCTTTAACTGTGCAGGGGGTGCAGGGGAGAGAACAGTTTGTGTCCGGGACGGTTGAGATACTCAATGATGGATTGGGATTTACTGCGACAGCGGATGGTGTGGATCTCACCGATCGATGGTCAATCGCATCCTATTATCCGCTGTGCAGTTGCCACAACCCTTTGTGGTGCACCTCTGTCATGCGTGGTAGAACTGCTGTACCACACAGTGAGGACACTTTCTGTGGTGCTGCAGTAAAAGATCATGAGGGTCTGCTTCCCCAGACCGCGTTTCTTTAAGCACCGCAGAAAGTGCAAGTAGTGTTGTGCCTTTTTCAGAATTGCTACAGTGTTGTGTGTCCAAGCCGGGTCGGTGGAGATCTGCAGGCAGAGGAACCTGACGTTGTATATGGTTAAGGAGTTTTTTCTTCTGCAGTGCCAGCAGGGTGATATGATCAGGAGGTCTCTGGTCTGAGCTGTGAGCTCTGTGCTCTTGGGGTGGGCCAGGTGACGGTGTCACTGTAGCTTCCAGTGACTGACAGGAGGTGGGGGAGTGCCCTATCACACAGCAGTGAGACCTGCTAGGCAGGCATGCTGACAATCAGCAGGGGTGTAGTGGTACAGTGGCATCAGAGATGATGCCTCTCCTGCTGTGTGTGCAGCAGTAGAAGTGATGTGCAAACATCTTTTGATGAGCTAACATGACAAGATAGCGTGACATAGACAGAGGAAGAGCTGTACGGATTTCTAAATTGTTAGAGATTGGGGTTTAAAACAGTAAGAAAGTTAATAAAGAACAGGGTCTGGAATCAAGTGAAGGAATTTAAGTGAATTCTAACAGGTTGGATAAGTGCATTTGTTTAGTTTTTTTAAATCGGGAGAAGATAAAACTTAAAATTAGAACATTTGGAACTGAATGGTAATGACATTCAGCTATATCACACTGCAGCTCACAACTGGCAGCCCACTGAAGCTCAGCAGGTGTGAGCCTGGTCAGTACCTGGATGGGAGACCTCCTGGGAAAAACTAAGGTTGCTGCTTGAAGAGGTGTTAGTGGGGCCAGTAGGGGGTTCTCACCCTGTGGACTGTGTGGGTGCTAATGCCCCAGTATAGTGATGGGGACACTATACTGTAAAAAAAAAAGGTGCTGTTCTTTTGGTGAGATTTTATGCCATGGTCCTGACTCTCCATATTCTTAATAAAGCGACAGTCGGTGTGGAATTGAGTGAGGGATCCACTGTGCAGTTTCACAGAGGTTAAGCATGCTTGCTTTTAGAAAATCATTGTTTGCTGGCCTGTTGTCTACCGTTAAGTTTTTTTTAAGAAAAGCATTAAGTGGACTCAGAAGAAAAAAAATGAAAAAAGAAAAAATGAAACTGTCTTGCACTGTCCAGATAACTTTCTCCTGACCGTTAGCGATCATGACCTCCAAGTAATCCCCATCTCTGAACTGGCTTCATCACTCTGTTCTCCTCCCCACTGATAGCTGATGTGTGGTGAGTGTACTGGTGCACTATGGCTGCTGTCACATCAAACCTTGGGGTTATATTCGATTCTGGCTTAACATTCGACCCACATGTACAGCATACTGTCAAAAGATCTTTTTCTCACCTTAGAAATATCGCAAGACTACGCCCTATGCTATCATTAACTGTGGCTGAAAAGCTGATCAACATATTTGTATTCTCTCGAATTGAGTACTGCAATGCTCTACTCCCTGGGGTATCTAAATCTACTCTGAACAAGTTGTAGAATGTCCAAAATTCAGCAGCCAGAATCCTGACCAGGCCTAGTGCAAGTGTTCACATTACTCCTATCCTGGAGTCCTTGCACTGGCTTCCGGTCAAATTCCGCGTAGACTTTAAAATCCTCATGCTCACCTATAAGGCTTTACATGGCTTGGCACCTCAATACCTGTCTGAACTTTTATCGCCCTACTCCTCACCTC